CTTACTTGTCCTTGTGGGATGCCGTTTAGGGATTGTTACCCAGATCCCGGGCGTGGTAAACGTGCCAGTTGCCACTGCACTGGCCTCGCCTCCACATTTAATATTATGGGAAAAAGTGGTGACAGTCAGGCATGCAAAACATTCCTCTTTGTACTATCTTGTGTGTCTTAGACCAGTTGGTAATTTATCTGACAGCTTACCGAAAAGTAGAGGATTATGCTGAGTTAGTTAAGCCTTATCCTTCGGAATATGCTCAGCCAATCAACGAATGCAGTCTTATCGAAAGCAAAACACGCACTCAGGTAACGACCACAAATGAGATGGCACAGACAAGTAACGCATTTGACTAGGGGAAGGCTGGACGTCTGGCGACGAAGGCGTACGGTATACCGTAATAACTGCAATTTATGATAGCCGCTGAGTCCTCGTCACTCATTATGGAGCCGCGAAAATGAGGTAATCGTTGCGACTACGCACTACTTGGGTGAAGAAGGAATTCTTTGGATTGTTTGGGAGCGGGATCTGTCTTCGAAAACCCCTAAGTTTCCCACCTTCTTTCGACTTGTTCTATATGATGAGTTCCTGTAGGGTAACTCTGTAGAAATCAACGCTTAGATGCTGGAGTTATTTCTTTCGAATATAGGCGGAGCGGTAGTTGATCACTCGGAAGGGAATGGTGATATTTGTCTAGGAGCTTCAAAGTACAGCCAAATGTAACATCAGTCAGTACGTTAGCAACTTATCTAGGCTGCACCAATATGACAACGTGAAGCTCCTACGCTTTCTCGGTTATCGTTGAAACTTTCCATGATGAGCACCATAATGGAGCGTTCATACTTTACGGCAGCGTCCACCACCAACCAATAGCGACCACCAGCGTTCCGAGCGTCAGCGGCTATCAAAGTATATGATATCGATCTAGCGTCTGCCAGCGTCCTTTGAAGCGACCGTAGCGTCCGGGTGTGGAGAATATGGGGCGATAAGAGGGTAGCAGACAGGTGGCACTCTCCTATCGTCCCATTATCTGCTCTCGGACGCTGCTGGTCGGCGGTATACGCAGGTAGACGCTAGCAGATGCTCAGATCGACACCTCTACTTCCGTAGCCTCCGAGACCTGCTGGTCGGCTGATGGACGCTGGCAGATAATAGCACACTTGGTGCGTAAGCGTACACTGACAGACACTAGGATTCGATAATCATCTGCCGATGCGATATCTATAGCTCCTGGTCGCTGACGCTTCGGGAAGTCTCGGAACGCTAGGGACCGGTAGATCGCTTGATGTACGCGTGCCGCGCGTAATGAACGCAGCCTAGCGCCATCCGCTGTTGCCTACCTTCTCTGTTGATGTGGCGCTGTGATTTGACCGTAAATAAATTTGACTGATACATTTCTTCAGAATGACATGTATCGAGGTACCCATCATGACAATTTACAGCAGCAGGTCCGGATCTACCAGCAAGATCTGACATGCTTTGGGCAGATGACATTACATTGTTTCTCCAAACCTGGCGTAAGCATGATAGTGGGTCAAGTTTTACAAGCGGAAACAGTCTCTCGAAGTGTTAGATCCCCAATGGCTTCTCTTCACTGTAAGAAAAAGGGCTCGGGTGATTTTGAAAGAAAACTCCTGATTTTTGGTATTGTTGTAATCAGTATTTTAGCCAGCTTTAGTAATTATTCTGGTTTATATGTAGAGAATAATTCCATCTCACTCGACAGGTCTAATTTTTGACCAGGGACCTACAAGCTACATTTTGTAGGGCGCTGGCCAATAGCTTCAGTGTCGTCTTACTCTAGTCTGCTCTTCGGTGCTTGTCTTCTATAACATTGCTTTGCATCAGCTTGCGTCAGTGTTTTCCGTTGACTCGAGATGGTTCAAACTTGAGATAAGTCGAATTGCTTGTGATTCCATCAGGATCATTAATCGGATTAAGTATGCGGCAAAAAAAAGGATTTGGCTGAAGTAAAGTCCTTTATTCGTAATGAGTGTTTGAGAAAAACATATTCGTAATGAGTTTGAGAAGTGCAGCGAATCCACTGTTTCCATACATCCTATCTTCCTGGTCTGTAGCGAGGTGTTGTTGTGTACGGGGGTCGTGTGGTGTACGGAGGCTGGGTGGTGTAAGGTGGTCGTGTGGTGTAAGGGGGCTGTGTAGTATACGGAGGTGTGTATCGGGGTGTAGTGGTGTACGGAGGTGGTAAAGAAGAAGGCGGACGGCACGTAGCAATCGGGCAGCTGAAATAGATCAGTCTCAATCTCAAGATCGCGGTTTATAGCTTTCTAAGGCTACCAGAGATAAAATTATCCTAATTTCTGCGATATAAAGCTATTCGTGAATGAGGCTCACCATGGCCCCGTGCGGAAGAAATGCTCTTTTTGCTCGATCTCGATGTTTTTGCTTGTTCGCGCCTATGTGAATAATCTACGTGAACATCGCAATCAGTCTGGGGCGGTGTGAGGAGGGTGGGACGAGCACCCTGGGTGCCCTGCTCCACCAATCGTGATCGACTAATGATCCATTTGGGAGAAAAGGAGCCAGTGGTAGAAACTCCGCAGTCCATCCGGGTCAGTCCATCCATCTCAGGATACTTGTCAACCGGGGACCTCCCTCCATCTCTTCCCTTCCCTCTTTCCTTTCATTCTTCTCTTTTCCCTCTTCCTTGTCCTTCTCCCTTCAAATGCTGAATGACTTGAGATGAGAAAATACCTCTGGACCTTCGCTGCGAGAGCGTGTCCGACTGGCAGAAGCCCTGTAACCCGGCCCCTCCTTCTTGATGCCAACCCGACTGACTGCTATGGTACCAACAGTTACTACATGGACTAATCAAAGTGTGTTTGCACCAAATAGAAGACCTTATGTCCCATCAAGAAAAAGGCAATGCAACTGCTTCTACGGCTAGCAACGTCACCATGCGCGTGAGCACGTGCTATCTGCGACTTCCCAAATATAGTTTATATTAGTGTAATCAGTCGGAGTGGTGTCACGGGGCGGGATTAGGCTCATCCCCGGCTGCACTCCCTACCAATAGTGGTCACTTTGAGAAGAAAGCATGTGACTCATCCACCCTTCCATCCTGACTCTGCTCATTAGCGATTGGTGCTTGGCGAAAATTTATCAACTTGGGATGCGCCTCATACTTCAGAAAATTAGGATTTCTACATGAATTCCCCATAAAGGAAACGAACCAGCCGGAAGCTGTGTTTACGAGGACACATCCATAGAAGGCAGGACAAGGGAGTACACAAATCGTGTTACATTCTGAATTACGAACATTGAGAGAGTCCGAGTGAGAGCGAGAGAGAGTGAGAGTGCAGGTGGAAATGTGGGAAATCGACTTGGTTCACCTTGCTGAACACACTGCGCTCGAGGTGTGCATCCATTGCAGTTTTCTGGTTGCACCAATGCACATTTGAGGCCTTGTCTACAGAAAAGGTTACAAGCACCTCCAATGAAAGCTGAAAGCAGCAAAAGACTTCGATAAGGAAATTTCAATCCTAATGACGGCAACCGTCGTTCAATTATCAACTCAGAGGGGACTTACGTGGTGGATTACCCATTTGTAATGCTTCGACACCGACGAAGAACGCCACGAATATGAGGGAGAACTGTAACAATAAAGATCACATGATTTCGAATAACCTTATGTGAATCTTTTATGAGGTTTATGTCTTTAGCAGTCGATGGCGGTTCAAGACTGCACAAGAAATGGGGGTTACTTCTCTAATTTCATAGAATCGGCCAAACGAAAGTAGCTCCTGTATTGGTACCACGGGCTAAATTTGAGGGTGGCCCAAAAGATCGCTCTATGGTCGCGCGGCAAGAGCGAGTCGCAAGTAGTTCCAGATGTGTGAAATACACGTGCGGGGTGAGCGACGGGAAACGGACAAGACAGTGTCGCGCCGTCGCGCGCGGTGCATCGTGTTATAATGAGCGGAAAATTTTCGATGTGCACCAGTTTGTCGATCGGAGCAGCAGAACCCTTTATGAGTACAAGTGGGCACAAGAACCGATGACTGGCGATATCGAGTCTTCCCGTCCCTCTTATACTCAGTGTCAATGGCCAGGCAGGACAACTCGTCTGACGGGTGCGGCGTCGCTCGCCATGCCCACCAGCGCGGCATATCGTTGTCTTGTAACATGCCCGCGACAAACCGTGACTGGCAACATTCCAGCTAGTAACGAATATTGTGAAACTTCATTTTTATATGAGTTCCATATTACTATGAACAATGATTTCACAACACTTCACAGCAGCCGCCCATCGCTCGCTGAGGTAGTGGATGCC